AGCGATGGAAAGAGAGAGAGAGAGAGAGAGAGAGAGAGAGAGAGAGAGAGAGAAAGAAGAGTGAAAGTTGTTTTATTAAGGTGACCTATCTACAAGAATATGAACAATAATGAGTGGAGTTTTTCATTACCCCTAACTCCTGGTACAAAAATGACTCGGAAAGTGTAAAATGTATTTTATTTTATGTGGTAAATGTAACGTAAATGTTTTAGTATAAAAAAAAGAAAATTGTAAAATTAGAAAATTCTCTACTTTCTTCCACAACCCTTTCCTAAAGCCTTCTTCCAGTTTTCTATGTGTGATAAACCTACGAAACGATTATTATACAACACAGTGTCGTATTAGAAATATACATGTTAATTCTCCAATATGAAAAGCGGGATAAAAACTGGTTTGCAATTCGTACACTGAAATTCAAGTATAATAAACCAAGTTGGTAGGATTTTCTAAAAAAACTATGCTCCACCAAACCGTTTTACAGTTATTCTCAAAAACAGGTTGGAGTCGCAGAATACAATTTCAACATTTGATAAATAACATAAGTCATATGTGTAATGCATTTTTGATTTACAACCAGTGCAACATCAAAAAAGTACCTCAGTGGAAAATCTTCTTACTTTATTCCATATTGAAATACAATACAATGTCAATTCCCGTTTCTTTATTTGTTCTTTTAATTTTTAGATCATTCCAGTCTCTCGAATTATCTTCATTTCAGAAACCTGCTAGGCATTTATCCTAGTTGGTAGGCAAATTAATGAGATGAGTATTTTTAATGCCAAACTTACAAAATAATTTAGTTTGCACTTCATTTATTTCGAATTATATTGCTGATGTATAAGAAAATATAAAACTAAATTAGTATTTTTATGAGCCAATCAAGGGCTATGATAATTATATCAATGGTTTTTTAATTACATTAGATTACAAGGGATAAATAAGCGATGTAACAATGCTCGATTTATATCAGGACCGAAACTGTATAATTGTCTTCCTATATTAACGGTAAAATACAAATTGGTACCTGGTACATTTATCGGGATGGTTTGGTATCCAAATAGAAATATAAAAGAGGGATACATCTAATAGCGAAACATGGATATCAACATTAATTGGGATCAACATTTAAAGAGAAACGGATTCTTGTTAAATAGACGATACATTTAAAGGAGAGACATGCAAAATTATCACTTACCGTCAGATTTCGGTATAGGCGGTTTACGCGTCGCCCAATTTGTACGAATACTTCTACTTCCAAGCCACTGTCCGTTCATAGCTGCTATCGCACTCTCAGCCTCCTGGAAAATACAAAAAGAAATTATTTACTAAAGTGTCCAAAATAAACGACCGCACGAGAGAGAAAGAGAGAGAGAGAGAGAGAGAGAGAGAGAGAGAGAGAGAGAGAGAGAGAGAGATAGGGTGAGAGAGGGGAGAGAAAGATAGCGACAGGCTGAGAGAGGGGAGGGAACGGGTGAGAGAAAGAGGGGAGAACGGTAGAGGGTGAGAAAGAGACAAAAAGATAGGCAGATAATACATATATAAATAAATAGAATGTGAGAAAGAGGCAAAGAAAGGGAAAAAGAAGGTATGTACAAAACAAAAAGATAGATAAATAGAAAAACAGACCGTGAAAGAGAGGGATGGAGAGAGCGAGAGAGAACGAATGAGTGAGATAGAGATTGAGAGAATGAACAAATGAGGATAAGAAAGTGTGAAGTAAAAAGGCAGGGAGCCATAGAGATAAAATGAATGAGTAATACTGAAGTTAAAAATAAATAAGGGCGAGAGAAAGATAAATAGGGGAGAGAGAGAGAGAGAGAGAGAGAGAGAGAGAGAGAGAGAGAGAGAGAGAGAGAGAGAAAGAGAGAGAGAGTGAGAGAGAGAGAGAGTGACATATAAAGAAAGAGAGTGAGGGGAGGGGGAGGGGAGAGAGAGAAACAGAAAGAGAGAGGAAAATTAAAGTAGAGAGATAAGAGAAAAAAAGGTGAGAGTGGAAGAGTGAGGAGACAGAGAAATAAAATAGATAGGAGATAGGTAGACAACAGAATGAGAGAGAAACAGACTGCGAGAGGGTGTCTGTGGGGTGATGAAGCTGTAATTTAATCCTTACCGATCATCTGGGTATACTTCGGTGGCTTACATTTTCAGACTTTCATCTCACCATCTTCAGTGTTTCGCCACATTACAGACCAAACCAGGAAATGGAGGCAGATCATATGATCGGTAAGGATCAAATTAAAGATTTTGTGTTAAAATAACAAAACCCAAAACAGATTTCTTCTACATGGGTTGAACGAATAAATTGACGTTAATGGTATAGCAGTATTCTAATATTTTTAAAATATTATGAACCTTGTAGAAACATAATTTTAAGAGGTAACAAGAATATAAATATATATGTTTCATTTTGTTCTGTGGGAAGATAACCCAGGGCAAATGACAAGATCCACTCCAATATGCACTTTTTAAAGCAACCCTTTTTCTTAAAGGGCAAAGGCTGGCGGCTTTTAAGTTATCAGGTGTCTTTCGCCCGGGTCTCCTCTCTTCCACCCCAGTATGTAGAAAGTGAGAGGGGTTATGAAATACAGATGGGCACATTTTTCCCACTAAAAGGCAGGTTGGCGGAGTATGTTGGAGAAAAAAAGAAGAGCCGCCGAGGGGGGGGGTTGACTGAGGAGTAGGTCATATTATTATATGGTCTAACTCCCCATACCACTCACTACGCGGCCTCTCTATAACCCCGGCGGTGATGGGCCCACTAAAATAACCCATCAGTTCCTTCGCCCATCAGGCCGATATCACCCTTCCCTTTCAATCTACACCCTCCAATTCCAACGCTGTGCCGCCCTAAATACAAAGTGACACTTATCTCTGACCTAATGCACAGTCATCTATGTATTTGCTTAACTAGATTTGTCCGAAATTCGGTGGAGATGAATTAAATGTGATTAATTAACAAATATAGTAGTTGGTTTTCAGTTAATAGTAGAATAAAGAGATCATTACCCACTTTTTTGTTTAAGTAATCAAAATTTCAAAAAATAAAGAAATAAGTGAAAAATGCATATTTTATCTGAACAAATAATACAGGATTCTGCACACATGCTCTATATACAATTTTTTATTACATTTATTTGACATTTACAAGTACAAATATTGTATCGAGTAAATATGTTCATATATGTTGAATTTGTCATTTGAGACTCTTGTAGAAAAGCGGCAACACTCCTTTGTACTGAAATCTTTTTCAATCTTCACTCAATGAGAAGGTCTGGGGGCCACTTTCGCTTCAATCGCCTTGGAGAATTTTCAGAAAGGATTGGGAATGATAAATGTCGTATTAATAGGTTATTGTTTATGTTCAGTGATTGATGAAATGTCTTATAGCTGGTTTTGATGAGTTCATGTGCAAACGGGATGTCAAGGTCGATATGAGTAGTATAATTTGAAATGTAAAAAGGAGCATTTATAATTTGACAGAGAATTTTTGATTTGGTTGCTTGGAGACGTTGGGAATTGGAATCGTTGGTTGAGCCCCACATTGCACCCAGTGAGGACTAATCATTGTCTTGCTAATGAAAATTTTGTTTAAAATGTTTAATTTTGATCGTGAGCCAAGTAGTCTTTTTAATAATTTATAACGTCTTTTCAGTCTTGTGCGGGGATTCCAAGTCCGTTATCCATGAAAAGTCCAAGATATCGCACAAGGACAGTGATAGGCGGTGGGATTCCATTTATACTCACTGCAGCTCATTTATTTTTACGTAAGGTAAAATTTATTTGTAAGCTTTTCGTTAGGTTTTTCTTCATTCTCCACTTTGTGAACTATAGTGTTCACATGATGTTGAAAGTGTTGAGTGTTAATTACGGGGTCCAAATTGCGTGTAAGAATCGCGGTGTCATAATCAAATGTTTGTATTGAAATGTTAATGTGTCTACGAATATCTGTAGTGTATATTAAAAATATAAATGGGCCAAGTATGCTTCCCTGAGGAACACCCGTCCGAATGCGTATGTTAGGTGAGAATTCAGTTCCCTGATAGACTCGGCAAAATTTGTTCCTCAGACAAGAACTGAGTAAGAGTGAGGATGTACTTCAGTTTTCAAAGCAAGCCAGACTCAATCGAAGCCTGTTCTAAATGAAGACACCCAAACAATGCCGTTTTTGTTCTAGGGTAGAGGCGATATTAATATTTAAGATTTTTTTAAAGCGGATCTTATTGAGGAGTGAATTGGAAAACTTACGTTTGCAGCATTCTACGACAATTACAATTTACTATCACCGATTTTATTTGTTTTTACATTTTACTGATAACCACTCTGATCCAAGATCCAAGTTTTATCTGTTGATGTCTGCTATATTGTCATGTGTGCCCGTGGACCTGGGTGATCCTCCTGGGCCGGGGACTACAGTCCCATCCTCTTCCTCCAAGACAGAGGAGAACGACACCCCGGATAAAAACGGACCGTCCGGTACCGATATTATTGATTACACATTTTAATAAATTTTGGAAAAATATTTGGTTTACTTAATTGCGTTGGTTTGGGGTGATTAATATTGGGGGTGGGATTATTTTAATTTTACATAGAGATAAAATTATTTTCTTAATGGTTCTTGTTTGTTATTTTTTAAATTTGGCCTTCACTACTTACTTGTCAATTAGTGTATACATATATGTGTGTATANATATAATATCCAAGCACATTCATTATTTTTATTTAATTAATCTAAAATTAAATTATCTTTGGAAGAATTATCTTTAATTTTATAGTTTTGTTTTTCACTCAACCTTACAATCTGGCATGACTGGCTCTTACAATAGTAAGAGCTTTTCCTTTAGGTAAGGAAAGAAGCTCACAATATGGGTTATTAAATAATAGTAATCATTTTATTGCTCGTTCGCATAGTCTCGTATATTTCCATCAGACGAGATTCCATGTTTATGTAAATTTATTTTTAAAATAACAAGAATGCTACAGCAACTCCTAGATTTACTGTTTGTTTTTATTACATCTTTGTACCAATTTATGTATTCTTTGTTTTCAGGGTTACAAAGATACACTTGGCCGACATGGCCTTTGATTTTATTTAAAAAAACCAAACAAACCCTCTACTGTAATCACATAAATATAAACCCAACACGATTTACTATCGTACGTAAAACATAAAATATATTTTAGATGAAATACTGTGTAATATAAGTTGTAATTTTATTTTTTTCTAGTAAGCTGCACTTATATGAGAGCATCTTGTCAGCCGTTTCATCATCACTCATCATTTGAGATCAAGCTAAAACCGTTGAAGAAGCGTAAATTGTATTTTTTCTATTAAGAACGATATTTCTATGTCAAACGTTTTAAAAACAATTATCACATACAATTATATGGATAAGAATTCATTAAAAAGAATTAATATTTCCTCGTGATATTTTTTCATTTCTTCTATTAAATCATTATTTCTGTCAGGCAGAATGTCTGGCCAATTTGTCTAAGACGACAATTGCTTTAGATAGCCTCTTTCTTCACAAAGCATGCATAAAATTGTATGTAATCGTAATAGTGGACCGTCCGGATCGGAAGCGGGTCTGATAGTCCTCAACTTTGGTGAAAGCCCCCCGCCGCATGATAGGAAAGGGCCATTAGCGAAGTCTCAATTAAGGAAATTAAGTCTGTTTGAGATACAATCAGCAACGAACACGTCCGAGTGACTAATTGAAGATTCCCTATCGCGAGATATTAGTGGGATTGTGTTCAATTTGTAGAGGTGCCATCAGCAGTGTCTCGTGCTATGCCTGGCACAGGTGGGAGCCGGTTAATGGACGTTTAAACACTCATTGCAGAACCATTTCTTTTCATTATGTAATATTAATTAAACAGATTTTTATAATCTATGTTACAATTTTTCTAATTAAGACGGCAAAAGAGAAGTCAATTGCAAAATATAAACTTCTTTGCTGTAAAATGTATGACAATGTATTTATTAGTTCATTTCTTACTGTTAGAGATAATTTTATAATTTATTACTGTAAGACATTTAGAATAATAACGTGGGAAGTTTATGGGCCGAAAACAGCTGAGGTCATCGCCGCCTCTTTCCTTCTTTTTCTCTTTTTTTGCGCGCAATGTGTTTAAACTGCAGCCATTTGAGCGTCTCGAACTGGTTACTGACTCTGATTTCAAATATATACTACGTTGATATCCTAGAATGCTGGCCTCTCGTTTGTACTTCAGGTTGTCAAATACAGAATAGAAACAGATCATACAATACATGCACATATATGCCATCATTACGTCTTAC